AAAACAATTGAACAATTGGATGAGACAACAGGCTTAGCCTATATACATATTGATGATGGGAATAGATATCAAAAAAAATAATAAGTCACAGCACTGAAAGCAAAACACATGAATTTTTACTCTTAGCTAAGTGAAAACCATGTTGATTGTTCAACAGGAGATATCTCAAATTGTGTGCGTTACAAGTTTCTAGCACGTATAAGTATGCCACCACCTGCTAAAATATTGAGTAGAATATCGTATTATGAGATGTGGGTATTAGATTACATGATCCAGTGCAGTTCAGTTCATATCAAAAACCAAGCTTTTGTTCTGTAGAAATTTTGTTGTTAATCAACCCTGTACTAGCCAATGAAATAAGATATCTCCTGTGTCTGTCATATATCATAAATGAACCATAAGTGGGTTTAGATTAATAGACCCGTCTTTGAGCACACATTGGGATTATATTTTGGGGAATCAATGTTTTAAAACCCTGTATTTTTTTCTGGTAACTAAGAAGTTTTTAATTGACAGACTTGACGACACAGTGCAGGCAAATATGCATAACTTGCAGTAAATCTAGCCCTTTAATCAAAGAAAATATGTGGATTTCAGAGGTAGCAGTCATAAATGAGAATTAACATCTTCTTTCTATCAAATTCATTAATCTTAAGGATGACTGCTACCTGCAACGTGCAACGTACAACGTACAAACATAATATATTGATTAGTTAAGTACATGTAAGATTGGCGAGATTTACTCACTCGATGGGTATTGGTCTAATCCGTCTCACTCTATAGCTTATATACAAGGAGCGATATACACATAATGTATACTTTGTAGCTAGACTCACATCGATGTATCTGTCCCTTACAATAGCTGACGAGAAACAGGTCTCTTCTGAAATGGTTACAATCACCTAAAATATTGACATGTACTGACGTTACCTGTGTAACAATAACTGTTACGAATATAACGCTTGATTGACTCGCTGTTATTATAAGTGTCTACCTGTGCCTGTGACGATTATTACACTGTTAATTATGACTTAGGTCTAAATGTAAACACAACATGGATTTGTAATACAAGTATATACCTAAAAGTCTATTTAAGATATTCAATCATTTTAATTTTTTTGTGTTTAAAATTACATTGGGATTATATTTCATGTTTTTTTTTTAACCACGAAATAAAGTAAACTAAATTAAATCCCCAACGAAATATTATGTTTTTACAGTAGTTTGAAATTTAGTCTGTTGAACAGAAAGAAAAAAATCTATTGATATAAATAAAAGACAAAGATGTCAGTGAATCATTATACAGCTGAACATTTAGATATAATTTGTTTCCAGTAAGTGATGTACAAGCACATCGTTACATGAATGAAGGTTGTATCACGCTCTGTAAATCTTTATTTTAGATGAAAATGAGTTCAGGAACCTAATAGTGTGGCTAGAAGACCAGAAAATTCGTCATTACAAGATTGAGGACAGAACCGGTCTAAGGAACATGAATGGGGCTGACTGGTCAAAAGCTCTACAAAGTGTAAAATCATGTTTTCATTTTATATCAAAATATATATAAAGTAATTTTTTAATGTTCATGCTTCTTCCTTTTATAACCATTGATATCACTTCAGGGGAAGTATCTCTACTTTGTAAGATTTAAGCTATTCATTTCAGAAAAATGGTCAGAATGTCAGTGCCAAGGTTTTAAGATTTCATGGCATATTGGTATGACTGGTAATTCAGTCAAGTTCTCTGGTCTTTACATGCATATAACATGGTTGACTGTTTATTTCAGTATCTGGAAGAACTTGGTTGTTCCTACCAGCAGGCTGAACGGACAATTTTAATAGACTGGTTGCTGGGCTATGCGATTCGTCTGGATTATGGAGAATCTGGTGAGTTGATTTTATGACAAATAAAAAGTATGCAATAAACTTCATTCATCAAAACAAATCTGTTTTAATGTACTTATGTGATCATTGTGCTTAAAAATCAATTACATTTTGCTGAATAATTTAAACAAGTTTTCTATCCACAGTTGATCAGTACAAGAGTGTAACACCAGACACTGTGAAGTCGAGTGCTGCTGCACCTGCTAAATCTACAAACCCACTGGACAACTTGGACTGTAAGTTATTGTTTTAAAATACAAATATCCTGTACTGTATAATT